TTCTGTGCCAGATGCTTTACATTTCTATCTCACTTAAGTCGTCACAAGAAGCTCCATACAGGAGAGAGGCCATTTCAATGCAATGTATGTGGGAAATGCTACACACGGAAGGAGCACCTGACAGACCATATGAGATCCCACACTGGAACAAAACCATACAGCTGTAAGCAATGTGGCAAATGCTACAAACTGCAGGGAAACCTGAGATCGCATATGGCGAGTCACACAGGGGGGAAACCATGCAAGTGCCCTGTGTGTGGACTAGGTGTTATAAATCTTAATCGCCATATGCAGGTTCATGCAGGAGAAAAACCTCATCAGTGCCAAGATTGTGGGAAGTGCTTTAACCGAAAGGAAAAACTGACAGAGCACTTAAGGATTCACACAGGAGAGAAACCGTATCGATGTCATGATTGTGGCGAATGCTTTAGGCTCAATCTAACCCTGAAGAAACACATGATGACGCACACAGCTGCGGCAAGTACTTCTCCATGAAAGAAGATATGAGAACTCAAGAGGACACACACGGGGACAAATCTGCTCAGTGCATTGCATGTTCCAGCAATATTGTTTAGATTGTTCAAATTCAATGTTTCAGTCAGAAGGGTACAAAAGCTGAAAAACATACGCACATCCAGTCAGGAGGGTACCTTGAACTGTGACATGCTGTTTTAAACAGGACAGAAACCATATAGATGCAATGATTCTGGTCAATGCCCTAATGAAAAGGCATCCTTGATTTATTTTTTTATTTTTTTACATTTACTGTGAATTTCTTTATATTTACCTTTCTGGGGCATATGAAGAACACAACACCACAGTATGTGCAAAAACATCCATCTTGAAAGAGGTCTGTGAGGTGCAAATGAACAGTATCCGTCGGAATAAAGATTTGACCTTGTAGCTATTATGATTTGAATGATTTATACTGACAAAAATATAAACGCAACATGTTTCATGAGCTGAAATAAAAGAGGCCAGAATCTTTCCATACACACATAAAGCTTATTTCTCTCAAATGTTGTGCACAAATTTGTTTACATCCCTGGTAGTGAGCATTCTCATTTGCCAAGATAATCCCTCCACCTGATAGGTGTGGTGTATCAAGAAGCTGATTAAACAGCATGATCCAAAAAAACAAAACAAAAACAGCATGATCATTACACAGGTGCACCTTGTGCTGGGGACAATAAAAGGCCACTTTAAAATGTGCACAATGCCACAGATGTCTCAAGTTTTGAGGGAGTGTGCAATTGACATGCTGACTGCAGGAATGTCCACCAGAGTTGTTGCCAGAGAATTGAATGTTCATTTCTCTACCATAAGTCGCCTCCAACGTCGTTCTAGAGAATTTGGCAGTACATCCAACCGGCCTCATAACGGCAGACCACATGTAACCACGCCAGCCTAGGACCTCCACATCCGGCTTCTTCCCCTGCGGGATCGTCTGAGACCAGCCACCCGTACAAAAGCTGAAGAAAATACACACATCAGGTACTTTTTTTTTGCAGGTGCTGGAGTTCAAGGTGGACTCATGAAATATAAAAAGGAAAGCACCGCACACTGCTGTTCATGCTCTCAGATTATTTTATTTTTACAATATTTCGACCGTTAGGTCATGGATGCCTGATGTAGACCTAAGGGTCGAAACGTTGTCACATCAAAATCACCTGGGAGCATGAACAGCAGTGTGTGGCGTTTTGCTTTTATTTTTCACCTCATTCTAATTTTACATGATCTATGGCTTGCTGTGTTTCTCCCTTGTGTTTTCTAATTGATTCATTGCAGACTCCTCCCCCTTGGCTGAGCTCCTTGGAGATGGGAGTTGTTCCAGGCAACTGCTCGGCCTCCAACCGCAAGGCACTACAGAGGGTAATGCGTACGGCCCAGTACATCACTGTGGTCAAGCTTCCTGCCATCCAGGACCTCTATACCAGGCGGTGACAGAGGAAGGCCTTAAAAATTGCCAAAGACTCCAGCCACCCTAGTCATAGGCTGTTCTCTCTGCTACCGCATGGCAAGTGGTACTGGAGCGCCAAGTCTAGGTCCAAAAGGCTTCTTAACAGCTTGTATCCCCAAGCCATAAGACTCCTGAACAGCTAATCAAATGGCTACCCGGACTATTTGCATTGTCTCACCCACCACCCCCTCTTTTTACGCTGCTGCTACTCTGTTTATTATCTATGCATAGTCACTTTACCTCTACCCACATGTACCTCAATTACCTCGACTAACCTGTGCCCCCGCACATTGACTCTACCGGTACCCCCTGTATATAGCCTCGCTACTGTTATTTTACTGCTGCTCTTTAATTATTTTATTTTTACTTATCTCTTTTTTACTTAACACTTATTTTTCTTAAAACTGCGTTGTTGGTTAAGGGCTTGTAAGTAAGCATTTCACTCTGTCTACACCTGTTGTATTCGGGGCATGTGACAAATACAATTAGATTTTGATTTGGTGGCCATCTTGAGGACCTCCATCAGCATGGTCTGAATCTCTGTATTTGCAGGTTCTATCAAGTTGAATTTTAGACTTTTTAAGACCTTTTTAATGCCACTTGAAATGTAATACCAATTTTGAGGTCTTCCAATAATCATCTTCTAATGGCACTTATATAAACTTAAATTGGGTGCTGGATCCTCGTGTGTATAATCCAAAGAACAGAAATAGGACAGCACTCCGGTAAATAAACTTAAATTGACATTTTTATTGACGCATGAACTTTCGTTATGAGCCCATAAAAATATTTGCATAATTGGGCACAACTGGGAATCCCATAGCAGTTCCTTGAACCTGAAGATACATTTGAAGACTGTTATTATCTTCAGGTTCAAGGAACTGCTATGGGATCGCCAGTTGCGTCCAATTATGCAAATGAATTTATGGGGAGATTTGAGTTGGACTTTGTATACGATGATAATCTCCATTCTAAGTTTATCAAAGTGTTTATGAGATCAATGACATATTTTTTCATTTGGTCAGGTAATGATCTTGAATTGCAGGAATTCTTTACACACATGAATTCCAGGATGCCATCCATAAAATTTACGTCAGTATCCGATAAAGAACATGTTTCCTTTTTGGATGTTTTGGTTTAGAAAGATTACAATGGCTTGCACACTGAGGTGTATAGAAAAAAAACGGATAGAAATATCTTTCTTAATTTCAACAGTTATCAGACAACTTCATAAAAAAAAAAAAGGTATACCATATAGCCAACTCCTTCGCATTAGGCACATTTGTGACAGAGTTATCATTCGATGTACAGTCGTGGTCAAAAGTTTTGAGAATGACACAAATACTAATTTTCACAAAATCTGCTGCCTCAGTTTTGATGATGGCAATTTACATATACTCCAGAATGTCATGAAGAGTGATCAGATGAATTGCAATTAATTGCAAAGTCCCTCTTTGCCATGAAAATTAACTTAATCCCAAAAAAAACTTTTCCACTGCATTTCAGCCCTGCCACAAATGGACCAGCTGCCATCATGTCAGTGACACGTTAACTCTCTCGTTAACACAGGTGAGAGTGTTGATGAGGACAAGGCTGGAGATCACTCTGTCATGCTGATTGAGTTAGAATAACAGACTGGAAGCTTTAAAAGGAGGGTGGTGCTTGAAATCATTGTTCTTGCTCTGTTAACCATGGTTACCTGCAAGGAAACACGTGCTGTCATCATTGCTTTGCACAAAAAGGGCTTCTCAGGCAAGGATATTGCTGCTAATAAGATTGCACCTAAATCAACCATTTATCGGATCATCAAGAACTTCAAGGAGAGAGGTTCAATTGTTGTGAAGAAGGCTTCAGGGCGCCCAAGAAAGTCCAGCAAGCGCCAGGACCGTCTCCTAAAGTTGATTCAGCTGCGGGATCGGGGCACCACCAGTGCAGAGCTTGCTCAGGAATGGCAGCAGGCAGGTGTGAGTGCATCTGCACGCACAGTGAGGCGAAGACTTTTGGAGGATGCCTGGTGTCAAGAAGGGCAGCAAAGAAGCCACTTCTCTCCAGGAAAGACATCAGGGACAGACTGATATTCTGCAAAAGGTACAGGGATTGGACTGCTGAGGACTGGGGTAAAGTCATTTTCTCTGATGAATCCCCTTTCCGATTGTTTGGGTCATCCGGAAAACACCTTGTCCGGAGAAGACAAGGTGAGCGCTACCATCAGTCCTGTGTCATGCCAACAGTAAAGCATCCTAATACCATTCATGTGTGGGGTTGCTTCTCAGCCAAGGGAGTGGGCTCACTCACAATTTTGCCTAAGAACACAGCTATGAATAAAGAATGGTACCAACACATCCTCCGAGAGCAACTTCCTCCAACCATCCAAGAACAGTTTGGTGACTACCAATGCCTTTTCCAGCATGATGGAGCACCTTGCCATAAGGCAAAAGTGATAACTAAGTGGCTCGGGGATCAAAACATCGAAATTTTGGGTCCATGGCCAGGAAACTCCCCAGACCTTAATCCCATTGAGAACTTGTGGTCGATCCTCAAGAGGCGGGTGGACAAACAAAAACCCACAAATTCTGACAAACTCCAAGCATTGATTATGCAAGAATGGGCTGCCATCAGTCAGGATGTGGCCCAGAAGTTAATTGACAGCATGCCAGGGTGGATTGCAGAGGTCTTGAAAAAGAAGGGTCAACACTGTAAATATTGACTCTTTGCATAAACTTAATGTAATTGTCAATAAAAGCCTTTGACACTTATAGAATGCTTGTAATTATACTTCAGTATACCATAGTAACATTTGACAAAAATGTCTCATAACACTGAAGCAGCGAACTTTGTGAAGACCAATACTTGTGTAATTCTCAAAACTTTTGACCATGACTGTACGTGCCAAAGATTTATGTGAACGATTCAAAACAAGAGGGTATAAAGTGGAATTATTGGACAATTGCCTTAAGAGAGTAAGACAAACTGCGCGGAATGCAAACACGTCAAAGGAATCCCTCTCCTCTCTCTGCATCTTTGGTGTCCACCTACAGTCCTATTTCAAGTTCGACCAAGGGTGTGGTTAATAGACATTGGCACATATTACACAGTGACCCCAACTTTGGTAAAGCGTTTGAATCCCCTCTGAGGTTTTGCTAAGAGACCCTCAAATTTACAGGGTTGTTTAGGAAACTCATATTTGCCTAAGAAAAAAGTATCACATTTTTTGTCTATCATTCCTGATCGCAATTTCCCTTGTCACAACTGTGTCCACTGTTATGCCATGATCAGATAACTCTCTTATCCATCCCTTCGGGTGAGAGGATAAAGGTTTGTGGTAGAATAACATGTAATAAGAAATATGTTGTATATCTCCTTAAGTGTTCCTGTAACTTTTATTATGTGGGTAAGACCAAATGTGAAGTCAAGACAATGATATGTGAGCATAAGAGCTCCATTCGCAACCATGATCAAAAATCACCTGTTGCCAGGCATTTCAATAGCCATAATCATGAACTAAGTGCCTTACTTTATATGGGTATTGAATTGGTGAAGGCGCCATATAGGGGAGGAGATGGGGATACATTACTTCTCCAGAGATATATATTGGATAGACTGCTTGGGCACTCTTGCCCCAGCAGGCCTTATTAATGAGGAATGTTAATTTTATTGGTTTTAGTAGTAGGTTTTTTTGTAGTAGGTTATAAATAGGCCAAACTTTTAGGTAATGACATCATGTATTTTTATTGTGTGTCTATCGTTTCCCCCACAACTCCCTCTGCTGGGTCTCTTGATTGGGCCAATACTCACTGTGAATTTGTAATTATGCCCACCTGTGTGGTATTATTGTTGTGACAGCAGCTGAAGAAGGGCTCATACCAGAAACGTTCGTGCGGCAATAAAAATGTAAGTTTATTTACCTGAGTGTTGTCCTATTATCATAGACTAATATTTGTTGCTAATTCACCAGTTGGATAAGTGGAAACTCAAAACACATTAGCTAGATCACTACCTCTAAATATAATTGTCACTTGCTGTAGCAATGTTTTAATCTAACAGTAAAGTAATTACTAATGTCCTAAAATAACGTTGCTGTCATAGCCTAATACCCAATGTGGCCGTTGTGCTCAGGCGGCGGATGCACTCGCAATGGCCAATGCTTATTTCGCGCTCTCCATATCTCAAATCCATATCAATATCTCGGTTGTAAAATAGACAGCTGAGAAAATAAATACCTGCACAAAGGTGAGAACATACTCTCTTCAACTGTGACAAGTATTACTCAGGATAGCTGTGTTTTCTTATAGCTAGGATCAGGACACTTTTTTTTCTACAGGAGCGCAGTGGGAAAGGCCGTAAAAAGTGGCTCGCTCATTATCACTGCAGCAGGCCCAAGAGAAACAGGCACATGGGCAGGGCAGACACTTTCATTAAGAGGAATTATGAAGATGATGCGCTTTACTGTTTGACCAAATCATTGAATAGCTAAATAGTTGACTAGCTAGCTAACGAGTGAGCTAACCAGCCAAGGTACAAGCATTGTTTCGAATTGGCTATCTATTTTGTAGCCTACCTTACTGGCTGTGCTCGCTCATCTGTCAACAACCGACTTGCTGTGGCACACACAGAGTGGAGCGCTCTAGCATCTTGAAAATGCGCCTCGGTAGGAGTATGCTATAATTTGATGTAAAAACATTTTGTACAGATTTTGCCGTGGTGGCAACAATTAAGCAGCTGCACAACATAGCGGAAAAACTGTAGTCATCTCCAGTCGCATTTTTTAAGACTAAGGACCTGCGGACACCCTGTGGACTGAGCGTATGGTTGGTGTAAATGTGTGTGTGAATGGTGTGAACCCAAGATGATTGTAAAATAAAACTTAAAACCGTTAACCGTTATAGCATTGTCTGTGTGGTGGCCTGGGATCTCAGAACCTTATATATATTTTTTTTAACTGTTTGGTGTTTTCGGTAAATACAACCTATTTAAAAAATAAAACGGTGTTTAAAGTGTCTCTGGAGAGCACATAAGAATCCATTGTGTGAAATGTGTCATTCAAAAGATGGTGGCGTATTCTAACACCTGTAAGAGAACATGCCCCCAAGTTATGACTGAACATGTAGAAAACCCACATTGTGACAACTAGTTGAGGATTTGGGAGGAGGCAGGGAATTGTTGGTGCTTTGGTGTCAACCAAAAAATGTAAACACGAAAACCCATATTGCTGTTTCTCGGCTATATAGCACAAAGCAAGTCAATACATTTCTAGCTCCCTTAGGGCTCTATTCAAAATGTATGCTGAAGCGTTACAGATTGCGTGATAGAAATGTAATGGTAATTTCTGATTGAGCCGACATGCAGCGTTTAGCGTGAAAGCAGTCTCTGCTAACAGGGGATATTGCCTTTAAATTTCAATCACACTAACGCTGCACTTCTGCGATATGGACTGAATAGAGCCCTGAGGTCCTATGATGGAATGTCACTCAAGCCATCTGACCACAGTCTTTATCAACACTCATTTTTTTGTTATGATTTACTGTCTGTCAATTTGGGAGCAGAGGGGGAGTTTCTCCACCTTTGTGGACCACTTTTATATCTGCACTCAAAGGATATTTGTTGCAGGGCTCATTATTAATTGTATGGTTCCCTCGGCTCTCAGCTGCGCGACATAAGTCATCGATTTGTTCACCTTTGTGTCTGTATATCCTCTCCCGAGGAGTGCACATTGCACTGTTAGGCTGTTACAACTGTTAGTGTCAATAATTGTCGAATAAAAAGCGAATCAGTCTGGCACTTCAGTTTAGCAAGCAAATTACTGTCCATCCGTAATTATTGGGACAGCAGTGGCGATTTTAGCATGTCATTCTTGGTGGGGCAAACTCTACATATCTTTTTTTAGATGCATGCCAGCAAAGCCACTACACAACATTAAACAATACATTAATTGCACTATAACAGTGACAAACAGTTCCCACAAACTGTTAGGGCCTACATAAAGTGGAGTGAATTCTTACCACTGCTACACCTGGCTATCAGCGGAGCCTTGTCTGGCGGTGAAACAGTTAATTCAGCCTAATTTACTGCCTTTTTAAAAAGCATAGCTGATATGGCCGACTTGCTTAAACAAATGTGGTTTCTACCTACTATTGAGATGTACAAACTATGGCATAAGGCAATCCATAATTTCGATAAAGACATTAATGAACGAGCTAGGACTGACGTAGTCAATATAACTATTTGTTCAGCACTTTTGAAATGTACAGCGAAATAATTCAGAACATGGGCCCTTCTTACAGTATTCTCCCTGTACACCAAGTCAGAACCGTAGGATGAATAAAGGGGGCATATAAGCAGACAATGAAAGCTCTTACAATATTCGATGATGACGATTCTCTAAAACAGGCTAAAGGCTACATGTGCACCACCAAGTCAGAACAGTAGGCTAAGTTATGAGGGGCAAATGGACCACATTATTAGGGTGAGGCACATGGGCTACTAACAGCTTACTACACAACATACACTTAGTATTACTTTCTTAGCTACAGTATACATATCTCCCTGGCATATTAAATCATCTATGCAGCAGCATACAATACATTTTTGGACTCACCTTGTTGTGCTGTGCTCACTTGAACAGGAAGATCCTGCTTGTGGGCAAAATTTCTCATGAAACTGTCATTAAAGTCTGGCATTCTCTGGATTTATGGTGCTTTCAAGACAACTGGGAACTTCAGTTCGGAGCTCTAGAAAGAGGCCAGAGTTCCCGACTTGGAATTCCGAGTTGGATGACCGTTCGAAACGTATTTTCCCAGTCGGAGCTAGTTTTTATCAGAATTCCCAGTTCTTGAACTCACTGAAGTCTGAGATTTCCCAGTTCTGAGTTTCCAGTTGTTTTGAACGGGGAAGAAGTCACGCTGGATTGACAGCATGGCCAATGTATTCAACCTTTTCTGACACATGGTGTTGCGCGTGACTTCAGAAAAGAAACCCGGACATGGACCACGCACCCTCTACACCGAATAGTAGGCAGGGGAAGCAAAATAGTTTGCTTTGCAATGCTTGCAGTTAGCCACTGATTCCTTCGAAACCACTCATTGTTGAATTTGTGATTTCCAACTTGTTGTGTAATGTTTACAGTACCAGCCAAAAGTTTGGACACACCTACTCATTAAAGGGTTTTTCTTTATTTGACCTATTTTCTACATTGTAGAATAATAGTGAAGACATCAAAACTATGAAATAACACATATGTAATCATGTAGTAACCAAAAAAGTGTTAAACAAATCAAAATATATTTGAGATTTGAGATTCTTTAAAGTAGCCACCCTTTGCCTTGATGACAGCTTTGCACACTCTTGGCATTCTCACAACCAGCTTCATGAGGTAGTCACCTGGAATGCATTTCAGTTAACAGGTGTGCCTTTTTAAAAGTTAATTTGTGGAATTTCTTTCCTTAATGCGTTTGAGCCAATCAGTTGTGTTGTGACAAGGTAGGGGGGTATACAGAAGATAGCCCTATTTGGTAAAAGACCACAAACATATTATGGCAAGAACAGGACGGACAGCTGACTCTGGAGCAGTGGAAACTCTTTCTCTGGAGTGATGAATCACGTTTCACCATCTGGCAGTCCGACGGACAAATCTGGGTTTGGCAGATGCCAGGAGAACGCTACCTGCCCCAATGCATAGTGCCTAGTGTAAAGTTTGGTGGAGGAGGAATAATGGTCTGGGGCTGTTTTTCATGGTTCGGGCTAGGCCCCTTAGTTCCAGTGAAAGGAAATCTTAACGCTACAGCATACAATGACGTTCTAGACGATTCTGTGCTTCCAACTTTGTGGCAACAGTTTGGGGAAGGCCTTTTCCTGTTTCAGCATGACAATGCCCTCGTGCACAATGCGAGGTCCATACAGAAATGGTTTGTCGAGATCGGTGTGGAAGACCTTGACTGGCCTGCACAGAGCCCTGACTTCAACCCCATCGAACACCTTTGGGATGAACAGGAACGCCGACTGCGAGCCAGGCCTAATTTTTATTTTGGAATGAGATGTTCGACAAGCAGGTGTTCACATACTTTCTCTTTCTCAGAAAACTTGGGGGGCCAATTTGGCCCGCGGGCCGCCAGTTAAAGAGCCCTGCTGTATACCGTATACAGGTGTGGATTGCAATTTCTACAGATCAGGATAGATACAGAATCTTCTACTTGCCGCTACATTTAGGCTATTGTTTATACAGTGGGGAGAACAAGTATTTGACACACTGCTGATTTTGCTACTTACAAAGCATGTAGAGGTCTGTACTTTTTATCATAGGTACACTTCAACTGTGAGAGACGGAATCTAAAACAAAAATCCAGAAAATCACATTTGTATGATTTTTAAGTAATTAATTTGCATTTTATTGCATGACATAAGTATTTGATCACCAACCAACCAGTAAGAATTCCGGCTCTCACAGACCTGTTAGTTTTTCTTTAAGAAGCCCTCCTGTTCTCCACTCATTACCTGTATTAACTGCACCTGTTTGAACTCGTTACCTGTATAAAAGACACCTGTCCACACACTCAATCAAACAGACTCCAACCTCTCCACAATGGCCAATACCAGAGAGCTGTGTAAGGACATCAGGGATAAAATTGTAGACCTACACA